CGAACCTTGAGAGTCATCGCGATCTTGAGGGTTTCCGGGGCATCCTTAGCCGAAGTAGCACTTGCTTACTGGGAAGAGGATGCTTTTGCATGTAATTGTGCATGAGTTTGTGGGGAAACTATCCTAGAGCTACATAGAAGTTGTTTGACCTTGTTTTCGCAACTTGGTCATATTGGCAGGAAGACCTAGAGACACGCACCTTGTCCGGATTCCATTGTATCCATAATCATTTCCAGAGCCGAACCGTGGATGTGGTACATTCCCAGACGTTTTGCCGGCATCATCAGTGGGACTTGCTGCCGAAGCGTCTGGGAATGTACCACATCCACTTCAGCCAAGAGTGCTTATACGATACCTAGACGACTACATTGCACTTTGGTCGCATGGTAAGAAAAACTTGGATGAATTCCTCGATTTATACAAACCAACTTGATGGAAGAATTAAATTCACAATGGAGGTGGAGGAGGATAAACGACTACCATTTCAGAATGTTGCGGTTACTCGCTCCAGCGGAATACTAAAAAGGAGACTATTCAGAAAGAAATCATACGCGGGAATAAGCCCCAATTTCCAGTCTCACCATAACTACAGACTGAAGATTAGAATCATGAGGATTATGATCATCAGACATTTAAGACTAACGGACACTGAATTCTGAAACGAGGAGTTGGAGAAACTGACTCGGAGTTGCCCTGGTAACGGGTACCCCAGAGAATTTAGAGAAAGAAATATAGGGGTCATAAAAAGCAGATTTCAACTAGGATGTTATGAAAATAAGATCAGAAATCTGGAGGACGCCAAAAAGTGGATATGTTTGCCTTCCTGTTAACTGAGCCAGAAATTGAGACGGTTGCTAAGAAAATGGAATATCAAGGTCATAACAAAAGAAAAGAAACCACTCTATACAAGCCTGCCGACGCAACACGAGAAGGTTGACTACTGGATTGATCAGGAGGCTATAGGAACTGTGAGCAGAAGTAAATCGGTGAAACGGGAAGAAAAATTGGTCTACGAATCAAGGAAGACCAAAGACTCTGCAGAAACATGGACAATGAAAGATTCGAAATGGCGGAACACCTCACACGAACGAGACACAAAATCAAGTGGAAATCGACACAAAGTCTGTCTGTATATGGTGGAAAAGCAATAAAACGTAAGGTACGAGAAGCCATTGATATACTGACTGAAAGAAACCTAATAAATAGGAGACTTGAAGAAGGCAGAATTAGCGAAAACTTTGCATATTGCCTAAAGAAACTCAGAGAATATCAGGTAACAGCAATATCAGCAAAAACAAGACGACCGGATAAAGGTAATACTTTTAATTTTAGGAAGAAGTGATTACAAGGAGACCAGAGAGGGACAATCGGAGTGCAATAGAAGACGTCTACAGTGAGCCTATTCAAATAAAGTAGAACCATCACATTTGGGGGTTGGCACGCCACAGAATGTCATAAAAGAGCGAGAGAAACGGTAGTGGCCATTTATAGATGGCTATTAGTGGATAATTTTAGTATATAAGTAAAATTTCGAGACTACCATTAAATCAGTGTCGAAGGGCACTCGGAGCAATATGGCCGAGTGTTCAACGTGTCAAGCTCACATGCTGCAGTGTCACGGTCCGACTCCCGCCGGGGATGGTGATAAGACCAACGCGAGGTCGAAACTGCAGCTCACTGGTGCCTGGATGAGAACAACTTTTGGGAAAGCAAGGCTGAAATTGTATGGAAACGTCAGCTCTACTCATATTCTTGTGGGAAAATTCTACTATCAGTTCTTCATCACCTCAAACAAAATAGAGTAAATATATCTCATATTAATAGACGTGGTTCATGAAGTAAAGACTTGACAACGAGCTTTACTCGGTGCTCGACTTTATGAAATTGCTCATTGAGGCTGGTGCATACGTGCAGAGTGTAGAACATAATTCCTTGAGTAGCTCGGATACGGTGGCAGCGATAGAGTGAAACAATTTACAGAGTCAGATAAGGGAAAGAGGGGACTCTGATAGGATCCGAAGGGAGAGGATTGCGCATTAAGCTTGAGCCTTGGATCATGACTCTCGGTACAATGGGAGCGATGTGGAAACCAGCGGGGATTGTGAATAGGTTTCAAATAGGTTTAAATGAACAAATAAGAAATGGTTATTTGAAGGGGTGATACGTGGATATAGGATAGGTGAAGGAGAGACAGAAGGAGAGATACCACAATTTTTTAGCAGACAATTGGTTACAGGATCAGCTTCACTTGTCTCTTTGACGAGTTATAAAATTGTGCTAAAAATGGAAAGGCTGAATGACGATGCCGACTACAATGTCGGCAAAAGTTAGAAATTTGTGCCAAGTCTACGGCCCGACTCTAAAAATGGTCATGCATACTATGGACTTCGGGTCCTCCTGCCAATATGACCAAGTTGCGAAAAGAAAGTCAAACAACTTCTATACGACGAAAGGAGATCGCGAACATACAAAAGACCACACCATCCTGATCTTCATATTTTCGACTATTCTATAGTTCATTTGATCTCGCTTTCGCGTCTTATTTGTGTCCTCAAGGTGACTTCTGTACTGCATCCTCGGCCATCCTTGCCATGTCCCATTCCATCATTGGGATGCTGTCTGATAGCATTCGCATACATTTCCCTGGCCCATTCTTTAACATTCAGCTACGAAGTGAAGAAGGCGTGTTGTTGCACTTTCGATTTACTTCGAAATCGAGAATTGATGGGACTCAAAAATTGGCTTGATCGTACAGCGAGGGAGGATCACCTTACAGTCGGAACTGTTGATTTGTGTGAATAAATCCTAGCTGCAACATCCCGCGACCACATTCCGTCTACGAGAAGCTTCCTTTTGTCCTTTCGTGACGGAAATCGTCAAAACATGAAACGTTCATTGTTCGGGAGACCTTCATCTTGTATAAAGATGCTGGTGTAGAAATTCGTCGGTTGATCTCACCGGAAGATGCCATCCGACTCTCGTTGTTCAGGAACATTTGTGCAGGCGCAGTCGACCAGTCATCCTGTCTCAGTTTCTGGTGAAGACGGACTGCGCTTTTGTCCATCATATGATAGACCTCATCAGAGCTGGAACTTATTTCTGTACAAGTCTCAAGTTACCACTAGGCCAAGAAGTCCAAAACCAATCACAAGAGATCCAGCGAGACCCAGTTACTCTTAGTACCATTTGCATGCATGCACCAAAACTCCAGACGAAACAACGGTTTTTCTGTTGCAATCCTCCCCACCTCGTACCCTAAATTTGCTATTTTAGTGTCGCATCCCAATATTTTCTAAGCTTCTTCATACGAAGAGCTTCGATAAACCCCTTAAGACCCTTATTTTGTATGAAAATGCGTGATGAAAAGATTTGTTGGTAAATCTCACAGAAAAATGACAACCGAGTCCCTTTGTTCTGCAGCAGTTTGGCCTTAATATGACGTCAAGAAGGCCTGACTTAGAGGTAGCTTGAAGCTCTTGCAAGAATGAGCTCCATCCCTGATGATGTCCATCATAATACCGGTTGTGTTACTAAGACGGACTTGGACTCTCTCTAAAATATAAAGCGCTTGCCCTCTACAGCTCTAAAGAGGGAGGCTTCGAAACGAAGAAAGAAAAGGAACAAGTTGTATTATCAATTGTCCGAATACAGTATGTGAGAGCTGACAGTAGAAAGACAATCACTGAAATATGGCGCCGAATAGAACATTCTAAGCCCCGCAGGCCACGGCGGAGCGGAGAGAGAGAAGGAAAAGAACATGACCGATTTAAAGAGTGTTAGCTACTCGATATACCCTCGCCTAGTTTTCCATGTCAACTTCTGAATGGAGTATGCGGTGCCAAACTTTAATTTGGCAACGCGAAATAGAGTCACGATTAGTTGTTGAGCTATTGCTGCGTATGGGATGTAACGAAAACTAAACATTGAATGGGAAAGGTGAAGGAATAAGTCACTACACACCCTATTTCGTTTAATGTGATGAAGGACTGGTAGTTGAATCAGATCAGATCTCTCTTAGTCTCGAAAACATATTTATAGACAAAAAATATTGCCCAAAAGCCTAAACGAAAGAGGATGTATTGTGGACTGCGTCAACCTCAACGTTGCGCCAGCCGCAAACTGCTGCAGAACCAGCGGAATCGGCCTCTATCTTTCGGTATGATCAACTAACGAATCTCTAAATAGTGCACTTTCCCGCGATATGGAAGTCTCGTGGATATGAAAACCAAGATGGTGTGGCCTTTTGTTCGGTCGCAGACTCTATTTATTTTATAGTGTTGAAGATATGAAGACCCAAATGTTGTGGCCTCTGGTATGGTCACAGTCTCCTTTCGATTTATACAAGTGGGTTGAACTCGTTGTCGCAACTTGGTCTTGTTGTCAGAGCGACTTAGTAGAACGCACTTAGTCCGAAGTCGTCGGCCATAGTAGTTGTCATGATTCCAAGCCTCAGACAGTGGACTTGGTACATTCTCATTTGTAACGTTTCGTCGAAACGACTTCGGACTAGGTTCGTTCTACTAAGTCGCCCTGACAAAAAGGCCAAGTTGCGACAACGCGGTTGACCCACTTTTATAATGTAGAGTTTCGAGACTAACAGTAAATCAGTAATATGAGATGTATTCATCCTATTTCGTCTAAGGTGATGAAGGAGTCGAAACGCGAATCCCGCTGAGGGTGTTGATAAGACCGATGTGAGGTCGAAACTGCAGTCCACTGGTGCCTGGATGAGAACAACTTTTGGGAAAGCAAGGCTATGTGAAATTCAATGAAAAAGTCAGCTCAATTCATATCATTTTGGGAAAATTCTATTACCAGTCCTTCATCACCTTAGACGAAATAGGGTGAATACATCCAACTTTTATAGTGTTTGTTCGACCTTGTCTTCACAACTTGGTCGGAGCGTCAGGGCGGCTTTGTCGAACGTACGTATTCCGGTATCCTTTGTCATAATATTCATGATTTCCAGCACTTTGATAAGTTGTAAGTCTGTGCTTACGATGGCACCTCTCACTGACGATGCCGGCGAAACGTTTGGAAATGTACCCAACCAATGGTCCAATGCTGGAAATCACGAAGGTTATGCCTGAAGACAAGGGGCTATGTACGTGCCACATGGTCGGGCCAAGACTATAAGACTTCTTTATACCTCCAACATGCACCTGGATTAGTGGAGTTGATGCATGAAGAGGATGTGGATGTCCTGACAACTAGCGTAAAGTTTGATCCTGTTACTCTCATGACTGTCTAGTTGAGTGTCTGCATATGCGTTGCGTTTACGAAATGCTTGTGAGTCCGTTGAGATGCTAGAGCCACAGAGAGACTCCAGGATGGTCAAGCCTCCTCACTTACTTCGGTCGTCTGTCCTGCTCCTTCTCTGTACCCAGAAAATAACCAAAGAAAATATTTGCTCGGTTTCCTACACTTACTCTAACCCGTATTTCGATACCACTACTGATTGTTTACTAAGAACTTATCAGTCCTTAAATCAACTTAAGCGACCTAGGGTGACCTATTTCTTATTTGAGCATTACTGATAATGTCGAAAGCTGATCATATCGAAATTAAGTAATGCCCTCGATTGCAATGGTAAATGTGAAAAATGTGGGTTAGGGGAGGCCTGGCTTACCTTAAATGTCGCATCTGTCCTCTGATCCATTGGATTTAAAGTGGATTGGAGTGCTAAATGTCTCCACAATACTTACGACCCGTGTTCGAATTCCGTTGGGATTGCTTATGAAACCCACTCAAGGTAGAAACTATTTTTAGTTTTATAAGCATCTTTTTGAGCCTATCACATATATAAGGTAAAGTGAACTAGCATCGGGAGCTGTATTCATGTCATGGTGAGATAAAATCAATCCTCAATGCTTCAGTCACCTTAGCCACCAAATGGTTACTAGTTCTTATTAAACCCGTATTTATCATATACTCGGCTAATTCTTATTTTTGGACACAAAATCCTTTGACTGAGGTTCCGGCCTTAGATAGTCCCTTTTAGATGGGCCGACAGAGCCCCCTTACAAAGACAATATTGCATGAATACACAACTTTATTACAACCTGATCTGTAGGGGCATTTCGAAGTTTTTTTGATTGGTTCATTGGTTCGAATATTGGCAGGACGGTAAGATCAGGAACCTAGATGAATTTTCAACTTTTTACTCTGGCTAAAATATCTTTCCTCCTTTGACCTATTTTTCAATATTGTTACCTAGTTGACACTTAGTCCTAACAGATGGTTGTTATGAAATATTTTCATATCTTTTGATCTCCGTGATTCACTTTTTTGATTACATAACCTCTACTTCCCTACACCTAAGTTTGGGTATAAGAGAAATTGTTTAGTCATCACGAATTTTTTTCTTTTCTATACGCGTCTCTACTCAATTTTACCCTTTCTATTTTTAATTTAACTGTTATGTGACTTTATTTGTCCTATCCATTCTATTCAACAACTTACGAAAATAGTTATATGCACTTCGTCGCTATGACGAGCGGCAGATTGTTCATACACATATCTCACTATTACCCTGTGATTAGACAGCAGTCAGTAAGGAATTCTTATGACTTTATCAAGTCATTGGATGAATAATTGATGGGACAGAGAGATTTGTTTTTGCATTTCGATGTGGTCTCGACCTAATATTCCAGTAATTGGGGCAACATATGCCTTAGAACTAGCATCAACTCCGTCCCAGGAGAGTATAACTGGAAAAAAATTAAGCAGATTTATCCATGATAAAGAAGAACTTAGCAATGAATAACGCCCAGCTTGGCTTAAATAGCAAAATATAAAGGCAAATACGAGGAATGGCTATGGCATCGTGATTGCTAGCAATTTTAGCAACTAATTACATACCTCATTTAGAGGTTTGACTCCTGGTTATCATGGTACTATTGGTGGAAGGGAGACAATTATTTGAGGCAAAGTATGGGGTTGAAAAAGTCTGTCTTCCTCCTAATCTTCATTTCCTGTCAGCATTCGAGCTACTGAGGAAATGGGACGATGGCAGGAGGCAAAGAGACTTGCGCTTTTCTCGACGCTGTCCTCCGATCGCGGGCTTTAAGAATTCTTCTCAAGGTCGGATTGTCATGATGCGTTGCGCTGTTGTGACAGTCCCTATTGGGGGGCAAGAGACATGTCGGCCAACCCAGAAACAAGAAACCGTCGGTAAAGTACTTGAGCATATGACCAATACAGGAACCGGATAGAGTGGTATAAAGCCCAACGTCTATGAGAGTGTGTGGAGACTTTGGGGCTAAGAGAAGGATTAAGGCAGCGATAGAAACTAATAAAATAAGCGGCAGTGTGACTCGAATTTTCATTTTAAAGAATGCTTTGGTTGGAGAGGATTTCTAGACTGGCTATCCCAAAAGAGAAGAAGAGACACCACAACAGTTCAACGAAGGGTTGATCGAGGTTATTTGACGAATTTTAGTTTGGCGCTAAGAAAGGCAAAAATCACTGATGAGGTCTGCGAAATGTGTGGGAATATACCAAGTCCATAGCTAGTCGCTGGAAGTTATCATGACTGGTATGGCACAGGACTCCAGGCAAGTTGTTTTCATTGAGGCCCTCTAGACGACACGACTTCTATAAAGCGGCTATATCATCCGGTAGATACGAGGAGTAGCTGAATTTTGATTAAGCTCTCAAGATAACATTGGTTTGCATGAAGATGCATGATGAAGGGATTCGTCGGTCGATCTCACCGGAACATGACGGCCGATTCCCGTTGTTTTGCAGCCATTTTGGCGTTAATACACCCTTAAGGTTGACGCAGTCCACGAGACATTCTTCCTCACTTCGGATGAAAACAGATTGGACTTTTTCGCATATAAGTAGAGTTTCGAGAGTCCTTCATCACCTTAAGCAAAATAGTGGGAATACATCTCATAGATCTGATTTACTGGTAGTCTCGGAACTATACTTATATACGAAAATAAAGTAATGTAGTCGATTGTTATGGCAAAAATACGTTTGCCTTATCGACAATCCCACAAAAAGAATGTGATATGGGAAAAGACCTGGCCTTCTTTGAAATTCACATCTGCCCTTGACCCAAGGGCACTCGGGGCAATGTGGCTGAGTGGTTAACGTGTCAAGCTCACATGCTTCACCGTCAAGGTTCGACTCCCGCTGCGGGTGTCGAAACTGCAGTCTACTGGTGCCTGGATGAAAGCAACTTTTGGTAAAGCAAGGCTATATGAAATTGGATGAAGACGTCAGCTCAATTCATATCATTGTGGGGAAATTCTACTACCAGTCCTTCATCACCTTAAACAAAATTAGGTTAATACATTTCATAAAACTGATTTACTGGTAGTCTCGGAACTCTACTTATATACGAAAAGTAAGTAATGTAGTCGATTGTTATAGCAAAGATAAGTTTGCTTCATCGACAATCCCACCAAAGAATGTGATATGGGAAAAGACTTGACCTTCTTTGAAATTCACATCTGCCATGTGATCCAAGGGCACTCATGACAATGTGGCCGAGTGGTTAACATGCTTCAATCTCACGGTTCGACTCCCGCCGCGGGTGTCGAAACTGCAGTCCACTGGTGCCTGGATGAGAGCAACTTTTGCGAAAGCAAGTCTCTGTGAAATTCAATAGAAACGTCAGCTCAACTCATATCATTGTGGGAAAATTCACCTACCAGTCCTTCATTACCTTAAACGAAATTGGGTGAATAT